TTGCCGGTGTCTTCGCCGTCCAAGGAGGTGCAAGTCCGTCGGAGGGATAGAGATGGCCAGCTACGAGTGTTTGTACCCGTGGAGGCTAGGCATTGTATCAATGTAGCTGCAACCGTCAATGGTGTCGAAGCGTAACATGCGGTTCGCGTGATCAGCCAAGATGACCTTGCTCTCCGAGGCCGTGGGCAAGAAATGAAGACAACGAGGAGACCTTATGGAGTAGGAGACTTCCGGTGGCCTCACGAGCAGCTCGCTTTTTGGCGGATTGATCTTGGGTGCCGCCGCCTCTGCCGTCGCCAAGTCGGTCTTGCATATCCTTCTCCTGTTGGACGCACATGCCTTGGCGGGCATCAGTGTTGGCACCACCTTGCCATGTGTGGCCGCCTCTTGTGCGGTCCGGTGAAAAAAATCCATTTTGGAGAGGTCCAAGCGGCGCAGCGAATACGCGCGTTTGCGCCCGTCAAACAGCCCCAGGTTTAGGAACTGGCGCCGGATGCCGCCGCTCATGTCCGATGATCCTTCTCTCCTCGGAGGGTAATAAGGACAAAAATTAGATCGATTGAACTTCCAAGGTTGGTTAGTATGAAGTGAGGTTCCTGAAACCCGCATACGTCGGTGAATCACGTGAGGTTCTTAAAACATTTGCATGACCAGGTTAGTATGAAGCTTCAGAAAATAAGTGCATCACGTGAACTTCCCTAAGTGAGTACTTTACCTCTATATATTTGACTAACAACATGACAGGTTGTGTGTGCTGTTATGAACAAAATACAATGAACAAATTGATGGATCAATATGGTTGCTTCACTTTACTTCCTAATAAGTGGGTTTCTTTTCCTGAACAAATTGACTGTTGATTTCAGGCAATAGGACAGATATTAAGCAAGCACATCGAAGACAAGATCATGCATGTATTGTAACGGGGAAGATGTGAATTACTTAACAACGTATCCAAACGAAGCAGATCGAAGACACACGTACGTACATATACAACACCAAAATCACTTAAGTACGCATCCAAATTAACCTTGATGGGGAGGGAAGAAAATTGAGATGGAGAAAGCACCTTACCTTGGCGGTGGCTGGAACGGTCACGACGGTGGTGGCTAGCTAGGTATTCGCGGGCGCTCGCTCTGGAAACGGACGGAGCCCAGGAGGTGCCTCGCCTTGACGCGCGTGGCGGGTTCCCCACGGCGCGGAACACTTCTCCTGCCCGGCGGCGGGGTCGTCGGCCAAGCGGCGACGGACGGAGTCCACGAGGCCCTCGCCTCGGCGCGGGTGGTAGGTTCATGGAGGCAAAGGGATGGAGCGCCGTACGCTTCGTCGCCGGCGACAAGCTTGGAGGGAAGAGAGGGATGGAGCGGCGGCGGCGGCGGGATGGATCTGCGGTGGCGAAGGATGGTGGGCGGCGGCGAAGGGATCTGGTGTGCGAGTCGCGCATGCGACTGGTCGCTCGAAGGCAGGAGGCCTCGCTCGTGCGATTCGTTCTCGGTTTTTTTTCATAGGTTTTTTTCGGCCGTTTTCTTTGGCGCGAGGGAGGTTTGCGCGTGAACTGGGTGGGGCCTAGCTAGGTTTTTTTGGTTCTACGCGGCTCAGCGTTAGGTGGGAGCAGGTATCAAAAAAAACATGATAGGTGAGACAAAAATAAATCCGAAACAGAGACTAACAATTGAGACATTAGAAATAGAGATATAAGTGAAAGGAACTCCTTTAAAGCTCAGATCAACAAGTTCACAATCATCAAAAGCATCTGGGAAGGCCACCATTTGCCCTTCAGCTCGAGCGGTGAAGGAAAAGTGCTCAAATTGCCATAGCGCTTCGTTGAAATCACCCATGACGGTCCATGGCAAATCTGACTTGGATTTCAGCTGCCTCAATGTGTCCTACATGAGATGTTTATTTTCTACCTTTAGCTCTTCATACACACAAGTTAATCTCCACGAACAGTGTGTGAACAGTAAACTTTTTTACAGACCCCGATTTTTTCTTTTTTGCATAGAGCTGCTCACATGTCCAAATGAGTTAAAATTTGCAGCGAACCTCACACATCAAATTCTCTACCACCCAATTTTTTTGGAATTTTTGGAATTTTTCTAGTATTTGTTTTGATTTTTTTCGTCAGCGCGGGTGCAGCTGAACCCTGGAGCAGAAACGCCGCACTCATCTTCTTATTCTTTCATTTAATTGTAGAAATTAATGGGATTTCATATGTGTAGTTTGCATTCGGTGTGTGCGCTGAACTGCGGGGCGCGGCGCGGCCCGATGCAGCGTGTTGGATGAGACTATGAGATCTTGGCGGTTTTTCTTTACCCTGTGTTTTTTTTCGCTGTTTTTTTGGTTGAGGCATGCGAGGGGATTGGAGGCATCGCTCTCCCTGGTTTTGGTTGGTTTTTTGTCTACGGGTCGTTACATGCGAGGGAACTCAGAGGTGGGAGAAGAGACGAAAATAAACCAGGCGAAGGATGGGAGGTGGGACGAAAAAATCGTGGAACGGAGACTACTAACTGCTCCATTAGGAGTAGATATTTCATTCAGCTTGTTCGAAAGCTTCATCACTTCCTTACTGCCAGCTCCACGTAGCAGCAAACTATTCAGTTCAGAAGGGACCGATTCAAGCTCACGAAGTATGTTACCAAATTTGGGACTGCTCCAAGCTTGCAACGATTCCATCGCGCTCCCTAGGCAGTCCTGGATAGCGCCCAGGTCACTTTTATCACCAGTTGCAGCCCAAGCCTGATCAATAATTTCCGGCAAATCAGACGCCCTTTCTCAAAAGAGTTCATACTGCCGGCATCGTCTCTTATTTTGTGGCAATTTCTTAGTTTGAAGACGGGCCAGCAGTGCACAATGGTTAGAGCATGAGGAAATAATGTGTTTGACAGCGGCATTAGAGAAAGTATCTCCCCAACCTGCGTCAGCCACGACACGATCAAGCCTCACCTTGACATTCTTCCTACCTCCCCTTTTATTATCATAAGTGAAGGGAACTCCTTTAAAGCCCAGATCAACAAGTTCACAATTATCAAGGGCATCTGGGAAGGCCATCATTTGCCCTTCAGCTCGAGCGGTGAAGGAAAAGTGCTCAAATTGCCATAGCGCTTCGCTGAAATCACCCCATGACGGTCCATGGCGAATCTTACTTGGATTTCAGCTGTCTCAATGTGTCCCACATAAAATGTCTATTTTCTATCTTTGGCTCTCCATACACACAAGTTAATCTCTATGTCACATTGGCTGGATACGATCCCACACATGCATCAATATACCGTTCATTGAGATCTTTTATTTCCACATGTACGTGCTCATCCTCAGTGCAGGCGCGTTTATGCAAAATCTCCACAAATTGCCTCATATCCATTAAATACAGATCCGATGGTTGTAAATCAAGAATGGAAGACACGCCATTACCATCAACTCAGATTTTTATATGAGTAGAGAAACGGTGGATTTTATTTGCTCAAAATGAAGCATCAAAAGGATACAGAACACAATAAGCACACACCCAAGCTCCGCATAGTCAGGATGCACACAACCAACACTAACACACGCGCACACACACAACAAAAAGACACCAAGACAAATAACAAAGTCGTATAAAACCAAAGCTATGCAATGCATGACAAGGAAAAAAAAACCCAAAGCAATTCGATCTTCGGTCAGCAAACTACAAAGTAATCATATCAGCACCAACCATCTAATGACATCACATAAATGACGAGATTTCTTCAACAATAACGTCTTCGAGACAGGAGAACACGAGCCGGTTACCTGACGTGTGTACACATCTGGATACAGGGCCTGGGTCGTAAATGCAAAGTACTAGTACAGTATTTAATTAGCTGCGGTGATTGGTAGTAAAGTATTGTACTACGTACTAGTATACGTGTATAGATGCTGGGGCCCCACCTGTCTCCGCCTGCTGGTCACGCGGCCTTCGCTTCCTTTTAAATTCCTTTATTTACTCCTGCTGTACGCCCGGTCCAGTGGATCAGATCCGAGCCGGCCTGCCTGCAGCCGGAAAAGAAAAAAGAAAAGCGGAAGGAAGGAAGCCCCAAAAGAGGCGGCCTTCCCGCCCTCGCGCCTCTCAAATTTATCGCCGCATCGCATCGATCCGTGGCACCCCGTATACTACTCCATCCAACGCAAGGGTCCCAGACAGAGAGGGAGGGACAGAGGGGGAGAGACGACGACGCGCGAGGGCCGGGGAGGAGAGCGAGGCTGAGGCTGCCGGAAGAGGAAGGAGGAGCGGGTGGCGGGGCGGAGGCTGATGGACACGCCCGACCGCGCGGCGGCCCCGGCGGCGGCCAGGGCGGAGGTGACGCCGCCCCCTCCCTTCCCCAATTCCGTTTACTCTGTTCCGGGGGATCTTGTTTTGTTTATATGAGTCGCTGCCGCCTCCGCCGTGCCGGTGCCGTCGCGTTCCCTCTGCTCCGCGGGGAGGAGCGGGATCCGGCAACCGCGAGCGCCGGACCGGTTTTTCTTCAATTTTTTGCTTGCTTTTTCGGCGGGGGGAGCGCTTCGACGGTTGGCTGGCTGGTTTCTCGCCCCCTCCTGCTTCGATTCCGGCGGTTTAGACGCCGGATTCCCCTCCGCCCGGCCGTGGGAAGACCTTTCCTCCGGCCAATTGGCCGGCCGGTTCCGCCGGCGGGCCAAATCGTCGGGGTTTGTGTCTGTCGCGGAGGTTGATTTCTTGCACTTCGTCTTCTTGGTGCTGCCGGGAGTCGTTACAGCCATTTTCGCCGCGGAGGTTGGGTTGGGGAAATCCATACAGCGGTTATCTCGGAACCCAGCGGTTCTGCTCCAACTAACGAACCTTGGACTGGGAGGCCGCGGGATCCAGTTCGTACAGGAAGCCTGGAGAGAGAGGAACAAGAAGATAGGAGATTGGCAGAGAACTTTCAGATAGGTTCAGAGTTCAGTACACAGCAGGACATACCTTTTAACCTTGGCCAAGGCCGCACGCGGCACGGCAGCGCAGGCGTGACATTTGCGCAGTCAGAATGCGCGTGCGGTTCGCTCTAGATCTACTCATTCATCTTGTCCTGGAGACAAGTGCTCCGTCCTGTTCTTGCAGTGTGGTCTCTGCTGTTGAAATTCATGCATACCCTCCGGCAGCCGGCAGGGTCAGATCCATTTCGCTTCAAGGTTTGACTTGTGGTTCCTGCGGGTGGCTTTTTTTTTGGTGCAAATGATTGCACTCATGGTGTTGTCGTGTACCCACAAGTTGGATGGAGGATTTACCTCTTTGTTGTCAGAAATACGACTTTCATTCATAGTCTAGTCGCGAGTAGGCAAGATGAACCACCTATCATTTTGCTTGCAAAAAAAGTGTAACTCAAGAGGAATTATATGCACAAATTGCACAGCATGTGTTGTTCATTGGTACTGCATTAAGTGCAACTTTGGTCTACTTTTGCGGGTGCACTTGTTTTGCTGTTGTTGAATGGTTGTTAATTGTCACTGTTCCAATATATTGTGTCCTGATCTGCTGCTCTGCACCCCCTGACCTTCTTGCTTTTCTGAATGCAGGACTCGCCGCTTTTCAGCTTCATCGACAGCTTGTCTCCGATCGAGCCTCTCAAGTCTGCCTACTCCGGGAATGGCCTCCAAGCATACCATCAGTCGCTCAACGTCACCTCCGTTTCCTCAATCTTCACATCCCCGCATCACAATGCACACAAGGAATCGAAACTCTCCAAGTAGGCTCGCTCGTGCCATCTTTTCTTTCTTTCACACACTTGTGGATACTTACTGAGTGAAAATATTTTAATTTTGGAGCTAATCCTGATGCTCATGCTGGTACCTATTCTTCTCAGGGGCTCTTTCGCTGACTACACTGAAAATGAGCTTTGCATGGAGGAAGGCACCGATAAAAATAAGTCACCCACTTCTTCAACGGCCGTTAGATTGTTCGCCTGCACTAGCACTATAACTCGAGAGAGCCACACAATGACTACCTGCTCAGTAAATGAAGGCATTGTTGATCCTCCCAAAGGGCCTAATGATTTGCCTCAACCTGGTCGATTCGATTCTGGCAGTCCGGATCACAACACAGCGCCTTGCCACGGTGTTAGTGTTAGATCAGATCTTAAACAGGACAAATGTCCAAAATTAGAAGCAGTCCAAACCACTAATAATACTGTGGAGAAAAGGAAATGTTTGTTTTCCACTGACATGCAGCTCCAGGATGGTTGCCAGCCTGCAAAAGAAAATAATGAAGTTATGGGATGTGAATGGGACGACTTAGTTTCTGTCACTTCGGGTGAACTTTTGGCCTTTGACTCATCAATGGACCAACATCACACAGGAGTTCAGCTGGCAGTTAATAATGCAGAATCTTGTGGATATTTGCTATCAAAACTTGCAGGAGGTGCTGACATCTCTGATAGAACACACCCCACTACATCCAGTCAAGCATACTATCATGAGATGGTGGTGGGAGAAGATAAGACAGAAAATGGCCAGCTCTTTCCTGAAGATAAAAAAACAATCTTAAGTGAAGAAATACAGGATAATATTAATGAAGAGAATGCATGTATTCCATTAGGCTGCAAGGTACTGACACTATGCAATCTTCCTCATGCTTCACGTAGTTCTAACTTCATTTGTAAGCAGTAAGTTTTTTTTTTTGCGGGAAATTTGTAAGCAGTAGGTTACTGTTGTTAGAGACATATTTGGTATTCCTACACTGCAGTGGATTAGATAGGAATTGCATCCATCTTATCTCTAAGAGTCTTCTTGCCTTGAGGGCGAGTGTTGAAATATTATTGCCCGCCTCTCTCCATAAGTTCAGACTTTTAGAGCAACTGTCTGGAGTATGAATTCAATATGGTATTATGGCTAAATATTCCATCATAATATTCTCTAATTATTTTTTCTTCCTGCTGGCATGTTTAGGTTGAGACCCAACAACGAGGAGTTCGAAGACGCTGCCTTGTTTTTGAGGCAGCTGGGTATTCACATAGGACTGTGCAGAAAGAATCTGCTGGGGATTTGTCCTTCTCAACATGCAAAGGCAAAAGTTCTGCCCAAAATCACAGAAATCCAGGAAAAACTCCATCACCACACGTATTCCGTGGTATTGGTCTTCATTTGAATGCTCTTGCCTTAACATCAAAAGACAAAATGGCTTGTCAGGACCCTTTGGCTACTGCCTTGGTTCCATCACTGAAAACTGAACAGGTCGTGCATGGGAATTTGCTGTCTGCTGGAGGAAATTTTTTCCATTCAGGCAGTGGTTCGTTAGACCTTCAGATGGATAATGATGATTGCTCAGTTGGAGGTTTTCTTGGAAATGATCATAATTCAAGTCAAAGCAGCAGCCCCCCAAAGAAGAGGTTTGTTTCTACTTCTGATTACTTTGGGAGTGATAGCCTCTTTGATTTGTGTGTTTCATTATAATCCAGTTACCTGACATCTTTACGTTGAAGAGCAGGCGTAAATCAGATAATGGCGATGATGATTCATGCAAGCGTTGCAGCTGTAAAAAGTCAAAGTGCTTGAAACTGTGAGTCAGTTTTCCATAGTTGAGATCTTTTCAACCTAATCACAGGAACCCTCTTCTTAAAATTCTTGGCCATGGAAATTTGTGCCACCACCCCATTTACTTATACTGCACATTTTAGTATGTGTACAGTCAATTGAATCTATGTTGTACGCCTTTGATAATCTGTGTGCAATGTTGCCATGTGCAGTTATTGTGAGTGCTTTGCTGCTGGCGTGTACTGTTCTGAACCTTGTTCATGTCAAGGATGTCTTAACAAGCCTATACATGAGGAAATTGTTCTCTCCACGCGAAAGCAGATAGAATTCCGGAATCCGCTGGCATTTGCTCCAAAAGTGATCCGCATGTCTGAGGCTGGTCAGGAGACTCAGGTGGGTAATTTTATTAATAAATTCATATCTACTTCTGTTGCTCATTATACCCTATTATATGATGCTGAGACAATGTAATGAATCACAGGAAGATCCTAAAAACACTCCTGCTTCTGCTCGTCATAAGAGAGGATGCAATTGCAAGAAGTCAAGCTGTCTCAAGAAGTACTGTGAATGCTATCAGGTATTATAATTGCTTTGGAAACTGATATTGGTGACTTCATTTGGAATTATACTTCTGGTTTGTTACTTATGCTTGAACTGTTTGATTTAATAAAAGGGAGGTGTTGGTTGCTCCAACAACTGCAGATGCGAAACGTGCAAAAACACTTTTGGCACTAGAGATGGTGAGCGTTCTGCTTTTGTAATCTGTCCAGCCATGCTACTTTACAGACATGCAAATCATTTTTCTAGAAACAAGCACAATATGTTGCATTTTTTTATGTATTGATAACTTGGGTCGTAGCGCCTTACATTCACAACTTTAGGTTTTTAATGACACACATCGTCTTCTAATACAGTTTCACTCTGAATGATCAACATTTTGTATGCATGACAGTGCTACATGTCTGTTTTCATTCAGACTTTAGAGGTATCTAGGATATAGATTATGGAGCGCCTAATGTGCCCAACTTAGTGTCTGAAATGATTAAGTGAACACAGCTACCCTGGTTTTTGCCGTTTCTACTTCAATCTGATATTTATATTCTCTTGTCAGTTGCCGTATCAGCTGAGAATGAAGAAATGAAGCAAGAAGGCGAACAGACTGAAAGTTGTGAAAAAGAGAAGGAAAATGACCAACAAAAGGCTAATGTACACAGTGAAGATCACAAACTGGTTGAGCTTGTCGTCCCAATAACACCACCTTTGGATGTTTCCAGGTTTGTTGGTACATTTTAGTCTAATATGTGGAATATTCAAACAAGTTCAAAAAATAGCTGCATTTTAACATGTTTTATTAATAGCTGTACGATGTTTTCCAGTTCTTTGCTCAAACAGCCAAACTTCTCAAATGCAAAGCCACCTAGACCATGTAAAGCCCGCAGTGGGAGTTCCTCTCGGTCTTCAAAAGCCTCTGTAACAGTTCAGTCTCGCAAAATCTCGAAGGTTGGTGATAGCGTGTTCATTGAGGAAATGCCTGATATTCTAAGGGAGCCTTCTTCTCCTGGTATCGTGAAGACTTGTTCCCCTAATGGAAAAAGAGTTTCACCGCCACATAATGCACTCAGCATTTCACCAAACCGAAAAGGAGGGCGGAAGCTGATACTGAAATCGATCCCCTCCTTTCCATCACTGGTTGGGGACACGAACGGTGGATCTGCAATATGCAGCTCCGACAGCACAACAGCTCTTGCTTTAGGTCAGGCTTATTCATTATGCAGACATCATATGAGTTTTTGTGTTTTTTATCAATTGTTGCAGAAGCTTATCTGTACGTTTGTCCTTGGAACCAGGTCCATCGTAAAAGCTGGGCTGGGCAGCCGATTATCCGCGACCGGAGTACGACTTGTAGTCCGATAATGGTACCTCGCATATGAACTCTGCGGCAAGGCTCAAGGTACCGTGAGAGAATGCCATGTCATGTCATGTTAGAACTGAGGTAGTCTGTATTTGTAACATATGTAGCGAGTGAATATTCTGTATGTAAGATGTTATGAAGTCGTCGTCGTCGTCGTCATGAAATTCTATTAATACTACATAAATCACCTCTGATTAGTCAGGGGGTTTAGTTCATGCAATTCAATTCCAAGTTTTTCTTCAGAAACCATGCGAGGTCACAAATTTGCCTGAAAAGAATGAGCACTTGATCAGACATGACATTAAGATGATTTGTGTAGTGTGTGGAACTTATCTCAGGTTGGCCATGCATCTCTTTCATGATCCGAGTTCATGTAGAAAGGTAAAGGACCTGCTGTCAGCTAATGTATGAGAATAGTGCCAATTATAGTGGGTGTTGTGAACTTGCCATGTCAGTCTCGTCCTCTTCCTGCCCTTACAACTGATAGAAAATAACTGCGCAGGTGGGCAAGAAAGATGTCAGGCTAATGAGCACGGGTGTTACACGCCTTTCTAAGGCTAATTTGCTATCAACTAATGTCAGGCAGACAAGAAAATGCAGTAGTAATTCTGTTACAAAGATATCTTACAAGAGTATGTACTTCCCGTTTAAAGGGCGCCGGGTGGCAAAATTGTCAAATTTGACCTCAGAGCGAAAGTATTTCACAAACTAAACTGTTTTTAAAAATATTTCACACCGCTGACCCTTTTGTGCAGTGCCCGACAGCAAGGCACTGCACACAGGTGTGGCGCCTGAGTGTTAGGCGCTGCACAGTAGAGTGCAACATCTTGCTGTCAGGCACTGCATATTAGGGGTCAGTTGAGTGAAATACTTTCAAAAACCAGTTTAGTTTGTAAAATAGTTTCGCCCTGAGGTCAAATTTGTGTCTTTTGCCGCGCCGGGCGACCGTTGCATCTTGTGCGGCCGATGCGTCAAAACTCCCAGCCGTCGGATCAGACTTGCGCTTCGTCCCCAACCCCCAGCGCCTGCATCTATTTTGTTTTTGCCCCAAGTCACACCAGTCACCAGCGCGGGAAGAGAATTTTGAGATGGGCCATTTAAACTGGAAGGGAGGGAGAACATGCCACTGTCCAGATTAGGTAGTGGTACAGCAGCAGCAGTAGTAGTGATGGATAAGCAGACGGCAAGGACATCGGGCGCTGGGGTAATCAAGACGGGGGACAGACAGTGCAGTCTCGAAAGGAGTTGGCTTTTGCGCTTTGCCGTTCCCGCTTTGGGGTGCTTGGGGAGGACTAAACTAGCGAGAAAGCAGCAAGTTAAAAAGAAAACTAGAGAGAAAGCAGCGGTTAATTTATGCTTAGCAAGTTAGCATGGTGAAGTGATCATTGCCCTGTAACTTTGTTCTCATCTTTGTCGACGATTGATCTGCTGTAGTACTAGTGCACAATGCCTCCGGTATCATCATCATCATCATCATCATCATCATCATCATCATTGCTGCTGATGCTGCTGCTGCTGCTGCTGCTGCTTTTTGTGCAAACATTTGGGGTGTAGATTATGTTGTTTCATATGGATGTTGTGGCCGTTGCTTAGGAATAACAGACAGTGCTTGTACACTTTGCTGTTCTGGAAATAAAATGCTGGAAATAATAACCTAACCACTATGATCTTTTTCGTAATGATAAATATTATGTGTGGTGTCACCACTATCTAGGCACAGGATGGTCTCTACGCAGATGGGTCTTCCCAGTTTGCAACACGGTACTTGAGTTTTTGTCGCATTAAAGTTTATAAACATCACCTTAGTGCGTGCTAGAATTCACCATGTTAGTCGTGCGATAACATGATTGTCTATTTACATTTGTTCCTTCTTTTTTACGTCCTGGGCCTAATTTTTCCAAGTCTGTTTTATTAGCCATTACACAAAATGCTGGTTCAAAAGAACATTAATCCCAGTCCTTAAAGTTTGGCTCAGTAGGCCCCTTCTAGTTTGTTCACGAATTGAGAATATATTCACACATTCTAAAAAATGTTGGCGAGTTTGTTTTTTTTCCTTAAATTTTAAAAAATGTTCATGATTTTAAAAATTAGTGCAATTTTCAAAAAAGTTCATACATTAAAAAGTTGTTCGCGATTTTACATACAGTTTGCAAAAAAAAATTGTGAATTTGAAAAAAAGGAAAAGCAGAAAAGAGAAAGCGAAAACAGAAAAGACGAAAACGAATAAAGAAAAAAAAGACCGACAAAAGAAAACGCAGAGACAGAGTAACGGGCCGGCCCATTTCTGCGGGCGGGATTGCGCGTTTGGTCGCTGTCCCTCGACCCGCTCAGGAAATAGGATTTGTGGTTGTCGTAGAATGACTCTGTTTTTTTTTTTGAGAAACACTCTTTTTGGGGGACTTCATATCTATTTATCTTCAATAATGATAGTATAACGAACACTAGAAATAATTATTTAAAAAAAACTAGAAATAATAAAAATTATATTCAGATCCATAGACCACCTAGCGACAACTACAAGCACTGAAGCGAGTCGAAGGCGTGCCCCTGTCATCGCCACTCTCTCGCCGGAGCCAGACAAACCTTGTTGTAGTAGACAGTCGGAAAGTCGTCGTGCTAAGGCACCATAGAACCAACGCACTAGAACAACACCAGCCATTGATGAAGAGTGAAGATCAAAAAAAATTCAATCTAAAGACACGAGAACATAGACGAAAGACGAACAAATCCGAACAAATCCACCAAAGACAGATCCTTCGGAGGCACACCTCTATACGTCTATCGACGATGCTAGATGCATCAACGGAACGGGGACTAGATGTGGAGACATTTATTCCATCTTTAGGGAGCTGCCACTGGCTCATCTTTCCGAGCAGAACACAAACTCTAACAAAACTTGAAAAAGATCTAGAAACACTCTAGTTGTTATGACTGCTGTTATTTTTGCTGGTTTTTTTGTTTTCTCAGATGGGCTTACTCATGTTACTAATTTTTTTTGTGTGCCTAAAAAAACCTAACTTTTATGTGTTTTACCTTTTTGTGTGTGTTTTTGTATCACTATGAAATAAAAAAACTGGCTTGTATCTTTTACTTTGTAAATAACATGAAAAGAAGAATTACATATAAAGAAACTAAAAATAAAATAAGTTAGGCATGATGTCATTTCCCTAAAGAAGAAAAACCGAGGCTAAGGTCGAACAACGCATCGTACAATGTAAGGTGCTTAAGGTAGATGTTTGAAGAAATAAATCAGGCTTTTCTTAAGCACCGATACTTATTTATACAGGGCAGACACTTAATCAGGCATCTTTTCTGTAGAAATAGGCACTGATGCTTCAGAAAAACACGGTTTATTTTTCTTCCTAAACATCTAGCATTGTACAAGGCCTTAGAGTCTCTTGTTCCATATTCTTAGTTGCTTCTGTTTAAGCATTTGAACCCATGATTTGGATATTTGTGCGTGGCGGGAGGGCTTGTTTTTTTTTTTTTTTTGCCTTTTGAGTTTTGTTAGAATTTGTGTCATCCTCAGAGAGGCAAAGGCAAGGCGGCAACGACTCATGAAATAAGGTTCTCCCATTTAGTCCCATCTTGGTGATGTTTCTAGCATCACTGGAGGGCATGTGAAAGTTTGTCTTCGGCGAATCTCGCGGGATTCGATAGGCGTTTGTCTTCGGTGGATCCATGTGGATATGGTATTTGTTCGTGTGTCTATACTTTGGATCCTTCTAATCTACATTTCTGTTCGTTGGCAGCGGTTGTTGTTCTGGTGTGCTGGTCTTATGAGGCCTTATCACGATAACTTTCTGACCTTATACTACAATAAGATTTGTCCGGTTCCAATGAGTGAGGAGCGATGTTGGCGGCGTGCCTTCGACGCGCTACAGTGTTTGTAGTCGTCGTTAAGTGGTCTATGAACCTAATGTATTTTTTTATTTTTGATGTTATTTGTACTACCTTGACACTGGGCGAATAGATCATTTTTTTTAAATAACCCATTTCCGCTCCTTTGTTCGAAAACAGATACGTACATACTTCCTCCGTAAATTAATATAAAATCATTTAGATCACTATTTTAATTATGTAAACGCTCTTATATTAGTTTATATAGGGAGTATTATTTTTTGTCAATAGAAAAAAAAATGACACGTTGAGCGCAAAGTAGATAAGGCGGGCTTTGAACCCCCGAAGCGAAGTTGGCGGAGCGAGCGATACCACGCCACCGTCGGCCGCCGGGATGCTACTGGCGCGCGCCCCGCCGTCGGCGTTCAACTCCCCGGCGCTCTCGGTGCGCGCCTTCCGCCGTCGCCGCCTCGCTGCTCCCGGTGCCGCCGCGACGGCCGCGTCCAACCCGCCTTCTCTCCGGGTCGGGCAAAGGCGCAAGCAGGTGGCGAGCGTGGCGAACCCCCTGGTGAAGCACTGCGTGAAGCTCCGGGACTCGGCCGCCTACCGACGGTCCTGCCGCCGGCTCGTCCTCGTCGGCCTCGCCCCCATCCTGTACCCTTCTCTCCCGCCCCGTCGCTCTGATCCTTTTCAGCGCCCTTTCATTTCTAATTCTTTGCTCCTCCTCCGTGCTGTCCGCTGCAGGGAGATCTGCAGGCTTGGGTTCGCCGCAATCGATTGCTTGCTTCTCCTGGACGGCGCAGAGGTCCCGGGTGAACTGCATGAGCTCTCTGGTGGCAATGTTGTGTATGTCAGCGCCACTGTGATGAAGAAGATCTCCGGGATGCAGTCGGTTGATTCAACCGAGGCGATTGCTGTCATGCACATGCCTAAGCATTTCTGTGACCTCGGTGATGATGAGGGTGGAGCTGGTCTTGACGCGTCGTTCCTGTCTCCAAAGAGGATTCTAGTCCTTGATGGGATTCAGGTGAAGACGATGAGCGACATCCCGCCATTGTTCAGTAGCAGACTTTTTGTGTAGAAAATGAGGCATATCTCTGGGGGCTGTTGCTTATTTGAGCTCTGAAGTGGTTTATTAGTAGTACATCTCATAAGCACGGATTCGAATTTTGTACAGCGCATCTGATGCCGGTTGTGATTCTGATACTTGGCAGGATCCGGGTAACCTTGGAACGTTGATAAGGTCAGCTTGCGCGTTCAAATGGGTATGCCATTTTGTCCTTCAGCTATTGTACATGCTTTCTGGAGCTTGCGCGATTCACATGACACATTCTTCTGTTATTGTATATATGAAGTTAACTATGACAACTTTTGTTTTATATTCAGTAATCTATTTAAAACTTATGTGATCAGCAAGGTAAGATGACGTGCAATAGAACTGAAAGCATGCAATTGTTTGGTTTCCAGACATTTAAGAGGGTGATAGTATAATCCTTAGTGGCATTAAGGATATTTCTAAGTCGATGCTTCATTAGGCAAAAGTAGGTTGAGTTGGTTGTGATGGGTTAAATTAAACATGTAGTTTTTACACTGATTATGTATCTTTGATTCAGGGATTGTGTGTCCGCTAAATGCATTTAGTTCTTTTCAGTTTTCACTTGTGAACGTTGATTCTTACTAACATGTAAGACAAACAACCAACAGGATGGGGTATTTCTTCTTCCGGCTTGCTGTGATCCTTTCAATGAAAAGGTTCTTCGTGCAGCTCGTGGAGCCTCTTTGCAGCTTCCAATTATCTCTGGCAACTGGTGTGATCTGCATGATTTGGTAACTAGATATGGCATGAAGATGTTGGCAGGCCATCCAGAAAGTAGCAGTGATGGATCTGAAAAAACCCATGTGCTGTCCAAAGAGCTTGCAGACTCACTGATGAGTGAGTCACTATGCTTAGTGTTAGGAAGTGAGGGCAATGGCCTCTCTGAAGAGACCGTCCAAGCTTGTGATCTTGTAAGCATTCCTATGGAAGGTATTTTTGAATCTCTGAATGTTTCTGTTGCTGGGGGTATCTTTTTATTCATGTTACAACCCAAACAGCAAACATATAGCAGAATTTCAACTCCGTAAGTTACCTGCTTGTCCAGTTCATATATATTTTTGTGGGTGTTTGTTTCTGACATCTAATTTAAAGTCAAGAAACATACCATTTAGTGTGATGCAAGATGTTGGTTATAAATTAAAGAAAATGCAAGATATAACTTTATTTCACTAGAACAGGTTGTTTGATGTATTTCCCAATGAACAAGAAACATTCCCTACTGCAAATTAGATGGTTGTCTCATGGATCTTGCTACTGTCATGCATTTCTGTAGTTTTACTGATCCTCCAATACGTCTTAGTTGCAAGGCTTAATCAATGGTCTGCCACAAGGATGAGCCCATATGAAACTGCAAAGACTGACAAAATGGTTCAAACTATTTCACTTATACTCCAGAGCCACTTATGCTCTCCCTCTCATCTCCAGAGCCACAGTCGGCCTACCGTTGCTCCTTGGAGTCGTATCCACAATCGGCGGGCAACATACGATGCTTGGACTCATGACAATGCCAATGTATTTAAATAACTTCGGCATGATAAATAAATCTCAACCATAAACTATTGCGGTATCTTTGACCCAAAAAAACCAGCTTTAAGTATAACAGCTATTAGCTTTAATCAAGGTTTGTTTAACACTGTGGGCAGAGAACGTTCTCTTTAAAGTTGGCTATAAGCTTTTCAAATTACCAGACGAGCTGGGCTGCCCGCCTTCCTATTAACCGGCATAAATGATGCCTTACACTTGCCACAAGAATCTTTCTACCCGGTGCCCCATTTCAGCCAGATCAGAAGGCCAGGCCCAGTAGCCGGCATAACTGAGGCATTGCACTTGACATGTCTACCTGTCTGGCCCAAGTGTTTGTCTGTGGAACTGAAGTAGTAGAATTTGCTTATCAGCTAACTGTTGAATCGTTTTGCCAATTGTGATGTCAGATGCTTGGAATATTTGATATGAACATTTACCAACTGACCTAGGCTTGCCTTCACTATTGATGTATGGTACGTGATAGAGAGAAAAGTTCAATAATTTGTTAACTAGGGCCCAGTAACTGTTGCTGACTGTTCTAGCCAAGCCATATAGGGCATAAGAAATAGATGTGCGGGTATATAATGCTTGGAAGTCCTGTGCCACTCAGTGGAGGAGCGACATAGATATGTGCTAGTATTGAGTAATTGAAATAGAACATCATTATTGATAAACGATATCAGCAAATCTCCTGGCAATATGTCTACACAACAATGACATCTTCCATGGTTTTTATTAATAACTCTTGCATGTGATCCACCATGACTGAACAGACATGGTGTTGTTTTCAAATAAGACACGTTATGAAGTTGCTTTGGCGACACTTCAACCCGTTTTGGACCTTAATAGTCAGTGTTTAAAGAAAGGATGGCTTTCACTTTCAGGCGAATACTTGCTTTATTAACTTACAAGAGCATGCTGACTCATCTGCAAACTTCGGTGTTCCATTATTGTAGTAGATGTATGCACGTCTGTCATTCACCAAGATGGTAGTGCACTTCGATTCATTTGGATGCGGTCTTTGACAGAACAACACTATTTTTCAAGGCTCTTGTTTTGCCACTTCATAGAGAATTTTATGAGCACATACAACATTTTACCTTTGTGATAATTGATATGACTGCGACAATGTTTGCCACCTTATACAGTATCTTGTGATCCATTGCTTTTGTATTGTGGAGTAAAACAGTTTTCTAGGACTGTTTTATCCGATAATACATTTTCGTATTTTCCATGGATTAACACCATCATTTTGTCGTTTTTGGAAATTATAATCCTATTTAACTACTTTCTTGCGCTCCTTCATTGTTTGTCGTCTATAACTGATAAGTGGGTTTCTATTTCTCTTATGATACTATTTGTTTATGCTGGTGTAAAACTGCTCATCTTACACTGAATGTGTATTTTCTGAAACAAAAATAGCACAAGAAAGTTGTCAAAAAATTCTTAAAAGGATAGACCCAGTGCTAGAAGCTTCCACACCTTGTCTAAAAACTTTGATTAAGTAATATATTTCTCTTGCAAGGCAGAACACTCCGAGTATATAAACCTCTTACTGCCTGAATGAGATGGGATTTCCGCTGAACCACCCATTCATTCAAGCAAAATGGTTAGTGCATTGTTTTGCCTGATCATTGCAACTGGAAACAAATGCAATGTGTACTGCAAGTAAAGATGCATGACTTAATGTGTGGACTGTGTGCTGACTTGGTGAGCAATCACCCACTTGGTTTAAATAGGGGCCAGTACTTCGACAATGCAGCGTCAGCTACATCGTAGTATCATAACTTTTTTGCTACCGAAGTACTAGTGACTGATGACAAATTTAAGATAGAATGAAATGCTCTGGGACCTTGACAACCTGTACTGACTGATCCACGAAAAGAAAGCCAAACTCAAGAAATAAAGCTGAAGTTGGTTCATATGTGCTGTCTGGCACTTCGGAACATTAAGAAGTCAAGAAGTTGGAGAAAGCAATGAAACGTTAACGTATATTTAGTATTTAGGTAAGCAGTGCTGGAAATGTCTTACCCTATTATGTTGGCTTGTTTTGGTTCTATTAATAGATAGCTAGTCCAGCTTGTGTCTTGCCCTTTTGGATGCTTCGTATTAATTGTGAAGTATTAATAGCTTTTGAGAGTAACTCATAATTAAAATATCAGGCAGCAGATTCTACTTTGTTTGTAAGGTGGTGAAACGACGATCGTGAACTCCTATTCCTGCTATCCTTTGTTAAGTGGTCTTGTTGTCATTGTGCATGATGTCCCCATCCGTGCTTTTGCTTTTCTGAAAGTGATAGGTTTCTTCACTTTCAAGCTACAAGCTATGTTGTTTCGAGATCAGTTACAGTAATCAAGTGTTCATTTTCAGAAATGAATATGGATGGTTCCCAAGTCCATTAGTTTTCTGCTGGCCAGCTCCCTGCTAAGCACTGTAAGTATTGCGGCCTAGCCTCTTACTCTGTCTGACAGCCTGGGCATGTCCCTGTCCATGAGCCACTACATCATTTTGCATGCTATCTCCTGCTCTAGACCATGCCCATCCACTGGCTGCAATTTTCATGCTATCTGTTGAAGTATTTCTGTTCCAAACATTATTGAAGTAGCCATGTGCTTTTACTTGGACCTCCCATGTGGAGAAGTACAAACGCAAACTAGCTGTGAACCAATCATGCGCACACACGCATATGAAATGTTTATTCGATGTTGATCAGAAGGTTACACGGAACCTAGATGCTTCCATATCATAGAGTCGCATGGTTCATATCTTTTAGTTATCGGGAGATAATCTACATTATCAGTATGGCCATATTAGGCAAATTTTTGTCTAGTGGCCAGCACATCGCCATGCAATTTCTCAAATTGTCCATGTTAAAGTTCAGAGTCCAATAGATATGCCTTTGCTAGTAGCATTAATCATGTAGAGTTGGTGCTGTTCCAGAACGGTGTGCCATTTAGCATCTTGATGTACCTTACAATCTTCGGCTCGGCTTGTCTGTTTTCTCTTGATAGATCTATGAGAACTAATCGAAAATTAGCATTGGGAGATCACTGGTTGGTGCATCATTTGCCCAATTAAGCGCCGCCAGGTTGGCCCTTAGCCTATCTGGGAAAGAGATCATGTGAGTTAACCTTTTCTGCTTGCAGCTTAGGTTGGAGTTTGATGCGTGCATGCATCTGAGTTGTACTCCCTTTGCTTTGCTGCATCTCCCTTTCTTTCTTTTCCACACATTATTATTGGCGACATTTTCCTCCTTTTTAAAAAATTTGAGCAACATTTTCCTCCTTCATTGTTTGCTGGGAAGAGCTACCTATGCCCCCATGTGGCCATTGTGCCTCCCATGTGTCAGTCTCCCCAGAAGCGGTAATTGCGACTTTTTTGCGAGATGGTGGAAAATATCTTGTTGCAATTATTTAAACTTCAAAGGATACATTATTCAGTCAGGGATCCAATTTGGGTGGACTCGAGGCCCATGTGTTGAAAAACTCTCGGAATCACTGCTTGGCATGTTGAAAGATTACTTCTGAGAAGGTCTCAAATGACATTTCCATTGGGATGGAACATATTTCTGGGGATATTCAGCCATAGCCCTCAGTTCCTCACCAGCTGGTCTGCTCCCTCATTATGCCGCCTTGTATTTTGAACTGATTGAGTGTGATGTCAAGGGCATAATCCTATACCAAACAAACAGAGCTGGAGCCCACGACTGTGAATTATGGTTGCTTGAACCATAAGCTTAGTTTGTAGCAGTAACTCGTAATGATAGTCCTCTTTTTAGATCTGCTTATTTATGAGTGAGCTCTTGACTATTACCTTAACTGATGATGGCTTTACTTACACACATAACAAGAGAAGACATCCTAATTTATGACAGAACATACATGCGTAGATCCATCATGGAAATGCGTCAAATAATACTTGGAATCACATGGACAAGAACATGAATAGGACGGGTTAAACCGGACAAAAACATCCAAGAATATGGAAGATCCTTGATGCTGATGCCAACAATGCTGATGCGACAGGACATGGGAACCAAAGGTGAGCAGCCCAAAAATCCTTGGTGGTACAAGACAATTTTCCGACTCACCGCTCACCAACGCCAAAGCCAAAGCCACAGGGCGTGGCTGGCTGTTCTTGCTCTTGTTTGTGTGCACCATCGCAGCCATCCAAGGTGTGTTCATGGGGACCCCTCTTATCTCTCTCTCGTCGACATCGAGCTCTGGTACGGTTTTTGTTTTTGTTTTGGTGGGCACCATTTTCAGATTTTGTTCTGGTATGTCTCCTATTTCCTCCTTGATGGCCAAGTGGGTCGAGTGACTTGGCAAAAAGCAGTGGCTTTTAAACTTGTGAATGGTTGTGTATATCGGTCGATGCAGATGCCGAGAGCATGTTCTTGTTTTCGAAAGAAAAGAATGTTCAACACCCAAGCCGTACTGTTTCATGCACATGGAGCCGTAAATATGGAACTGAAATATACTTTTTTTCCCTGAATGAGAACTGGAAAGAAAATACCGGTGCCTTGCTAACAAGTGGAATGTTTTGTTAAGGACCCTTGACCTTGAACCTGGACTTTTGAACCATATACATTGTGTCAGATCACAAAATTTCCTGAGATGAATGCATATTCAGGCGTCACCTGTTTGCAAAACAGGGAAATGTTGCTAGATCCAAAACTAATGACGTGCTAAGAAGTCTACCTTTTCCTAATTAACCGTTGTACCTGGCCTGGTGCTTGAACTTGACCCAAAAATACCCATATCCTGACAAAGAAGTCCGATGAATGGGCGTGTGTTCCACATACACAGAATTGAATTATTCCACTTGACAAAGACTTGGAAATTTGGCTCCGTTTCAAACCCTGACAAACTGACTAAAGGGTGGTCACTCAACGTAAAATGTCGGTCAAAAAACTCAGAAGCATTTTACAAAGATGGTGTGGTCTCCGGTGGAACCGACCCAAATGCTTAATTTCAGCAAACATGGGGCTTGACCTCCGT